TTCCCGGACCCGCGGAGAATCTCCTGTCCTGTGTTCCCTCTTCCTGGAAGTCAGGCTGTGGCCCACACACCTGAGGGGGGACCTCAGGGCGGTGCCTGAGGGCGGTGGCTGCAGACACACAGGTTCCCGAGCACGCAGCCTCCCTGGGGCTCCCTCCTGGCTGCAGCCCTCCCAGCTCTGCACCCCCTGCCCCCCACCCCTCTGGCTTAGAAGGCCCATTCTCTGAAGGGCACAGCGCAGGCTGCTTTAGACCCAGCCGCTTTCCACACAAGGCGTGAGTCAAGGTCATCAAACGAAGGCTTTATTCATTGGGGCAGGCAGCATCACTAGGAAACAGAGATGGGAACCAGCCGAGCCGTGTGGAGGGCTCCCCCCCACCCCCACCCCCCGTTCAGATTCAGAAAAACGTGCACCGTGCAGGCAGCCTGTGGGGGGTGAGGAGAGGAAGTGCATTAGCAAATCAAGGCCTAGGACCTTCCTGAGGCATTTAGGACGGCGTCAGGGTCCGTGGTGTTTTTCATACAACTGCACAGAGCTTTCGCCCTTCCCGGCACCTCCCAGCTCCCGAGCAGCACCGGGGGCAGGTCCCCTCGCCCTCTCTCAGTGAGCCTTCTGGGGGCCCCAGCACCCTCCCATTTACATAGCCACAGAGCAATAGCAGGTGCTTTAAAATGCAGATCAAATTCCTCAGGATTTAGGAGCATAAGCCAGCTGCCCAGAGTACTGGGGCGTTTGGGGGAGAGCTCACCCCCTTCTTTGGAATTTCTCACCTTCACCCCTCTGGTCTGATGAACCGAGGCCTGTCTCTCTCTTCAAAGGCACGCCAGCCGGTTCTTCCTGCATCTGCCAGGAAGCAGTGGGGTGTGTGTGTGGGACTCGGCACTGAAGGTGGAAATGGTTCAGCGCGTCCCGTGCCGGGAGGGAAGGAAGCAAAGGACTCAGTACAATGCTCAGTCCATTAAGATGAATTTCTGAGAACTTGGGTGTGTGAAAGTTAAAATTTAAGTAGAGAATCTGCAAATACATGGGATTTTTAAATGATTCTACCCATTTAGACTCAGTTAAACTATTTTTTTTTCTTTCTTAAAAATTCTTGGTTTTGGTGTAACAAATGCTTGAAGTCCTAAATGTAAGTAGAAAAAGCCAACTTCCTATTAAACCTCAATAGTAATTTTAATGAACAACATTTTTCGAAATGCCACATTGCATCTTCAGTCAGTCCACCTCACCGGAAACTCATTTGTGATGTAATGCTTCGTATTCGCAGAGCCTCGGGCTTGCTTGGGAAGGGCCTGGGAGAGAGCGGTCAGGCCCTGGTCCGCGTGGGGAGTGGGAGTGGGGACCAGCGGGAGCCCCCTTCTGTGGCGGCCGGCTGCCTTTGCAGTGGCCCAAGGGCCGGCTCGCTCCTGCGGGCCACCCGGTTGTCTGCAGAGCTCGTCTTATTGGTCAAGACTTACTGACTTTTCTCTGGAATTCGTGTCAGCCTGCTCACCTTCCCTCCGCCCATGCTTAGCCCGTATTTCAGAAGGCCCACACTAGACTGTACCCTCCCCCCAAAAGTGATTTTTAGAAGTGTTTTCATTACGCTATAACTCTGCAAGGGACCCAAGTGGTGCCACCCTGAAACTGCCTTTTGGGTTATTGATTTTTTTTTTGTTTTTTGTTGTTTCTTTCTTTTTTTTTACAGATTTTATTTATTTATATTCAGAGAGGGAAGGGAGGGAGAGAGAGAGAGAGAGAGAGAGAGAGAGAGAGAAACATCAATGTGCGGTTGCTGGGGTCTGTGGCCTGCAACCCAGGCATGTGCCCTGACTGGGAATTGAACCTGTGATGCTTTGGTTTGCAGCCCGAGCTCAATCCACTGAGCTACACCAGTCAGGCCTAGGTAATTGATTTTAAGCTGGTCATGAAGACACAAAAGACTCAGGAACGGCATTTGAACCTCCCCCTTTTCTTCCCCAAGAGACTGAGGCGGAAAAGCCTTCTATGGGAAGGGAATCCTAGCACGCTCACCTTGGCCCGGTGGGAGCTAGGTACGGCAGGTAGGAAGGCTCCAGGCGGGGGCCTGTTAGCTGGCTCGGCCCCTGCACCCCATTGCGTCCAGGTTGCCTAGCCAGAATCTGCCTGTCTGTCCTGTGTTCAGCCTTCCCTCGGCGACCTGCACACTGCCTGTTCCCTTTGAATCTTAGACCCCTGCCCCCTTTCTCCGTTGTCCGTAGTGACATATAAACCCCGACTGTCCAGTGCATTTCGGGGTCTCGCCTCTTGTGATACCTCCTGGCGAGCACACCCAGAATAAACTTTGGGCATGTCCTCCTGTCACTGGTGATCTGTGTCGGACGATCTGAGTATTAGCCCAGCTGGAAGGACGCAGGACATGAGAGGGAAAGTGTGTTTTTAGTCCCCCCAGCTCACGCATAGCAAAGCGCGCACCTCTCAAGGGACCACTCGCTTTATGAACAGTGACACCTGTGTCACCGGCACCCAGATCGAGATGCGGAACAGGCCCCTTGGTGCAGAGGGCAGCCTGGAGCCCCTCACAGTCCGCTCTCTGACCTCCGCGTCAGAAAGTCCTTTGGCCCGCATTTGAGTTTTATACGAATGGAATCGTGCAGGTTGCTTAATATTATGTCTGTTACGTGATCTTTGAGAGTTATCTCCCTCTCCAGATTTTTTAGTGTAACTAAGCTTTAATACACTATTCTAATTTTTCCTGAAAGTGCAAATGTGAGTCACAAACCACTACAAAAAGGAACACTGTGCATTCAGCAGTGGGATTGAGTGGATGGTAACTTTACTGTGTAACAGTGGCTGTAATAAAAACCACTCACATTCCCCTCCCTATCCCGGCCCTGTGCCCATGTTACAAAACAGGCACCTAAGCTACAACTCAGTAAAGTTCTGGGAAGATGCTTAAGATTTTCTGCCTGACACAGGTAGGCATTACACATTTTAAATTAGCTCATGATCATGTCAGTCGTGAATTTAGATGGTAGAATGTGGAGAGAACGTGGGTGGTTGTGATGGTTAATGTTATGTGTCCACTTGTCCGGGCCACAAGGGGGCCCAGGCGTTTGGTCGGACGTTCTGGGCATGCCTGTGACCGCGCTCCTGGGTGAGGTTAACACTGGAATCAGTCGGTCGGGTAAAGCAGACTGCCCTCCCTGGCTCGGGTGGGCCTCGTCCAATCAGTCGAAGGCCTGCCCAGGAAGAAAAGGCGGACCCCCTCCTGGAAGAGACAACTCCTCCTGCCTGACAACTTGATTGGGACCTGGGTCTTTTTTGCCTGTTGAGACAACCAAAAGTTTTGCCATCCTGAAGCCTCCTTTTGGGATCCTGAATTTAAGCTGTTTATTAAGAAAGAAGACTCAGAAGGAACCTTTTATGTTTTCCTCCTTGCTCCTCAAGAGATTCAGCCAGAGAAACCTGCTGTGGGGAGGGAGCCTCGGCTTCCTGCCTGTGAGAAGGTCCGCTCTGGCATCACTCAGGCAGACGTCCCGTCCGTGAGCCAGACTGCCCCCGTGTCCCCTCGGGTCCGAGTCACCTGGCAAGAATTTTCCTGCCGTGTATGTTCTGGTCTCCCACAACTCCCTGCAAGTTGCCCGTTCTCACATCTAAACCTTATTCTGAAATCTAATAAGCCCTTCCTCCTTTGTCCCAAAGGGTCGTCTCTACCCGGGGTTGCCTGGCTGTCTTTGAGATTTTTATGCTTATGTGAGCTCCCCCTGCACAAGTATTGAAACTTTGATTTTTTTCCCTCTTAATCTGTCTCTGTGGATTTGATGATTAGCCCAGCCAGAAGGATTTGGAAGGTGGGAGGGAAAAGTATTAATATTTTTCAGTCCCCACACCGTCTGTGGATTGGATGATGTTTCCCCAGTGTGGGTGGGCCTCATCCAGTCCGTCCAGTGTGGGGGGCAGGCGGGCTAAAGAAGATTCACTCCGCCCACAGAAGCAAATGCTCATCTCTTCAGGAGACACCTCACAGTCCCATCCAGAAACCACGTGTAACTGAATTCCTGGGTGCTCCGTGACCCAGGCAAGGCGACATACAAAGTTAACTGTCAGGTACTGGCATTTCAAAAAATCAAACTTCAGAGTTTTGAAATGCAAAGTATTTCCTGTGTATTAAAAAGCTCTGTGATATTTATGACACTTTTATTATTTTAAATAATGATGTTGAATTGGAAATTCCTGTTCAGCAAATGCATGTTCCGTCTCATTCACCATTTCTTAAAACTTGGGCAGCCGCTAAAACATACCAAGAACATTTTGATACCCCAGTTTAATTGCAGCTCATGAAGGAATGTTATTGGGCAATTTCCTTCTTTTTTTTTAAGATTTATTTATTTATTTTTAGAGAGGGAAGGGAGGGAGAAAGAGAGAGAGAGAGAAACATCAATGTGCAGTTGCTGGGGGTCATGGCCTGCAACCCAGGCATGTGCCCTGGCTGGGAATCAAACCTGCAACACTTTGGTTTGCAGCCCACACTCAATCCACTGAGCTACGCCAGCCAGGGTGCAATTTCCTTCTATGTTGCAATTCTTCAAAGCTTGCTATGGGTATAAAATGATAATGTTTGACAAAAGTTATAACAAATGTCAAATATTTATTACACAAATTAATGAAGAAAGCAGAGGAAGACAAAAGAGAATACCAGAGACTAAACCATTTAGCTAGTAAAAGGGGGAAAAAGCTGAAATAAGTCACGTAATTTCAAAACTGGTTAATTTTAAAACTGGTTACAGGGCAAGCAAACCATAATCTTTCGTGTTGTTGTTTTTTTTTGTTTGTTTTTTCTACTGGATAGAAAGCACCTGCACTTCTATTTGTCAGCCTTTATTATGCAGCTTATCAATCTTCTCAGAGTTAACGTTTAACTTGACCAAATCTGGGCTCTAAGAATAGTAAACGGTGAGTCAAAGTTGCATTTTCTTAGAGCACCCGCCGATGCCCTGCAGGGGGCGTTCTTAGGAGAGCGCTCCGGGGAGATGGTGGACACTGCGCAGGACCTTTGTGCCTTGTCTCCAAGTTTTGAAACACAAAGTGTCCGTCACCCAGGAATCAGTGGGTGAGGGCGGTATGAGAAGTGGGCCCGTTCTCATCCTTGACATAAGGGGCATTTCATATTTTATTCAGACTTTTAAAGGTAAGAAACAAATGCACCTGGTTTAAAAAATTATTCAAGTTCTTTATAAAATATCTATTTAATCTAACATGTCTTTTTAAAAGGTTTATTAGGACATTGTCTGAAACAAGGAAATAGTTATGTGATTGAATATTTAGTAGTTTGAATTTAATGTTTAATTAAGAAATATTTTATGTGCATTGACTTCTATTATATTACTACATGATATAATAGAAAAATAACAATAGCAAAAGTACACTGCTAAGGTAATATAATAGAAAACTAAGAACCCTCCCCACATGTATAACATAGTCTAATTTAAGGAAAAGAATTACAGTGTCATTAAGGGGCCAACCACAGCCAGTTCTCATCTCCAGTAACTACTAATTTGAATTCTGTTTTTATAATTCCTTGCTTTTTAAATATTTTTAATAAATTGTTAGAATCATATATTTAATATAGTATATTTTGAATATAGTATAAATGATATCACACTGTATTATTTGACTTGCTTCTTTTCATTAGTATAATCTTTGTAAGATCGTCCCTGTTGAGGTGTTTAGCTATTGCTCCTTCTTTTTCATTTGCGTTCTTGCTAGTTTTTAACTGTAACAAACTTTGAAACTATTCAGTCTGTTTCCATCTTTCCCTACATTTCCTCAGTGACACTCACGTTACCGTAGATGAGCAGGGTCAAAGTGTTTGTGTATCTTTAGCGTCATTGCACAATTTCCAGTGGTTTCTAAGCAGCGAAACCAGTCCGTCCCTTCCCTGGCAGAGTCCGAGATTCCTGGTGCTCTGCAGTCTCGGCAGACCAGGGATTGTCGGAGATCCGGCCCTTGCCACTTTGGTGGGTAGGAAATCACAGCTGTGTGTTAAATTTTTGTGTATCTTATCATGAGGTTGTACGTGTTTTTGGTTTGCTTTCATTCATGTTCCACCTTTAGCTGAATGCTTTTTCTTGTCTTTGCCCCATTTTTAATTTTTTTTAAAATTACATTTCATTGATTATGCTGTTACAGTTGTCCTGATTCCCCCCCTTGGTCTCCCTCCATCCAGTACCCCCCACTCCCTCAGGCAATCCCTCCACTGTTGTTCAGGTCCATGGCTCAGGTGTATAAGTTCTTTCCTATAGTGTACTGCACATCCCCATGGCTATTCTGTAACGGCCCATTTTACTTCTGAATCCCCTCACCTCTCCACGCGTCCTCCCCCTCTCCCCACCCATCTGTCAGCCTTCCAGTATCTTCTTTTCTCTTCCTTTTACGAGTCCCTTTTATCTTCAACCTTTGGCCCTTTATCAATGATGTGTCTTGGCGTGGGCCTCTCTGCACCCATCATAATTGGGATTCTCTGTGCTTTCTGGACTTGCATGTCTATTTCCTTCACCAAATTAGAGACGTTTTCTTTCGCTATTTTTTTCTGATGGATTTCCAGTTTCTTGCTCTTGCTCTTTCTCTTCTGCTTCTGGCAACCCTGTGAGGTGAATGTTGGACCTCTTGAATTTGATCCAGAGGCTGTTTATACTACCCTCATTTTTTTGGATTCTTTTTTCTTCTTGTTGCTCTGTATGGTAGTTTTTTGCTTCCTCATGTTCCAAACCATTGACCTGATTCTCAGTGTCATCCATTCTACTGTTGTTTCCTTGTAAGTTGTTCTTTATTTCAAGTAATATATCCTTTGTTTCTGATGGGGTCTTTTTTATGCTGCTGAGGTCCTCACTAAGTTCCCTGAGCATCTTATATACAGTGTTTTGAACACTGCATCTGATAGATTACTTACCTCCATTTTATTTAGTTATTTTTCTGGAGTTATGATCTGTTCTTTCATTTGGACCGTGTTTCTTTGTCTCCTCGTTTTGGCAACCTCCCTGAGTTTGCTTCTGTGTATTAGGTAGAGTTGCTTTGACTCCGGGTCTTGGTCATGTGGCCTAATGTAGCAGGTGTCCTGTAGGGCCCGGTGGCACAGCTTCCCCTGCCACCCAAGCTGGGTACTCAAGGTTGACCCTTCATGTGGGCTGAGTACACCCTCCTCTTGTGATTGAGCCTTGGTTGCTGTTGGCAGATCGATGGGAGGGATTTAGCCAGGCCAGTCAGCTGCAAGGACTGGCTGTGATCACTGACCACCCACCTCCATCCTCTGTGGACGATCAGCTGTGCAGGGGCAGGTGGCGGTGCTGTGATGTGGTCTGTAGCTGTCCACTGGGTGTATTGGCCCTGGGGTTTCCAGGGTGGTGCAGGCCAAGGTCAGCCCCACCCTGTGTTTGCCCGGGGCACCCTGCCTGAGCTGTGAAGCAATCTGAGATGGCTGCTGCTTGTGCTGGGCTGGGACACTCCCAGGAGAAGCCAAGCTGTGACTCCAATCTGGCTGCTACTGGGGCTCGCGGAAGCCAGCTGCTACTTATTTGATAGGATTTAGGAGCCGAGACCAGCCATTCTTATGGAGAAGCAGCATGGGTGGGCCTGTAATTTGGGTGGGGTAGAGTCTTGGGTATCTCCAAGGTGGGTCACACAGTGTTAGCCAGGTGGGTGGAGTCTCAGATACTGCACCGGCTTGCTGGCTCTGTGGGGAGAGGGCTCAGCAGTGACAGTGGCCTCTGCTCACCCCAAAGCCAGACACTTCATTCCCTCTCTGTACCCCACAGGTGCCCCTCAAGCTGCCACCTGGTGCTGGAGCTCAGCGGGAGGGGGTCTGAGTAGGGGAGTCCGCATAGGGGGGTTCCCCAAAAGGAACTGCTTGGGGCTCCAGCAGCTTCCTCCACTGACACGATCCCCCTGCTGGGTTTTTGCAGCCGGAAGTTGTGGGGACTCACCTTCCTGGCACTGGGACCCCGGGCTGGGGGGCCTGGTGTGGGGCTGGGACCCCTTGATCCCGGGATATTTATCCACGTGGGGGAGGGGCCAGCCCGTTCTGCCTCCGCACCCCTCCCACCAGTCTGGATGGATGTGGCTGCTTCAATTCTGTAGCGGTCAGATTTCCACGCAGCTCAGTTTCTGACGTTCCTGAGTCGTCATCGTTCTATGTTTTAGTTGTAATGTGGTTGTGTGACGAGGCGAATCGTGACCGCCCACATGATCATCATTCTAATATTTTAATTTTGCGATCTTTTTAATTACTGAGTGGTAGGAGTTCTTGGTGTGTGTGCTGCTATCTCTTTTTTTTGTAGTTATATGTGGCCGCCTTGTCCCTGTTCCCTTAAGAGCATCATCTGATGGTCAGAAAGTTTTTATTTTGAAACAACTTCAAATTTACAGAAAATTTACAAGGCGAACATGCCGAATCCTCCTGCCTTTATTTGTTTTCTTCTTTAGCACGCTGCATATGAATGCACATGTTATTATTAGCATTGTTATTGCTGAAACGTTTGCAGTTGCAAAGCTCGTGTAATGAACGTGCAATTCCGGGAATCACCGTTCCCGTAGGTCTCAGGGAAAGCAGTGTCTGTCTTCTGTAGACGTGAGGCCCAGGGCCGCCGGGTAAGGGACATTTCCTCCCTGTGTGGACGTTCGTCACATTAGTGTAGTGGCACAACAGGTGGTCCCGTGTAGTGCCAGCCCGTCACCTCGCACGCCAGCTGCGTCCTTCCCAGAACGACACCGGCCAAGGCGCGCAGCACGGGCGCCCCACAACTAGCACACTTGCTCACGGAAGTTGGAAATCAAATATCCCCCCAGGTTTTGGCCTGCAGGAATGCCCTGAGGACTGGAGGAATGGGTCCTTCAGAACTCCTGCCTCTCCACCCCACTGGCTGCTGTCCGCACAAATGAGTCTGTGGTAGCCCCGCCCAGCGACTAGGGGGCCCCGGCAGCACGCCCCGCTCTTGGGGGAATGTGGCTATTGTTCTGTCCCTGAAGCCACAGTCCTTCAGTGTCCGTGTGTCTTCCCCAGAGCAGGATGATGAACCAGAGCAGGGGTAATGGAACGGACTACCGTCTTTTATGGCCTTATAAAGATCTGCTGTGAAAGGCTTACTTATACTTTGTTTTTCCCCCTCCTATTTGCAACAAAAGAATTATCTCATCTTTCCTGATAGCAGATTACTACGCGCCCGTGGGAATCAGAGTAGGAAGAACAGCTGGAGAACACCGGCTTCTGTTTCATGACTTCCTACGGCCACCGTGCCTCTGAGCCGAACTCAGAAAGGCCGTTCCAGGTCTCTCTCGGGTTCGAGCGGAGAAGTTAAATCTAAATATTTAGCTACTGATTACAAATGAATGGCAAAGACATCAACATCATTGAAGTAATATCAGGGAGAACGGAATGTGTCAGAATTACTGCTTCTTTACATGGCAGGTAAACTGTAGTCACGGCCGTCCTTGCTGGGAACCCCCCCACCCCCACCCCGCACCCCGGGGATGGGTCCTGATGGAGGACACCGGAACTCATGAGGCCGGGCTGTAGGCTTGCCAGAGAGAGAATTTCTGTCTGTGGACCAGGCCCTTCTGGGCCCTTTCCAAGAAAATGCTTCTGGCCTGGGAGCATGGGAGGAAGTCTCCTTAAAGCCAGCCAGAGGGAGGGACCAGACCCTGCAAGCCGTACTGTCCGATTGTACGTCATCCTCTTGTTGGTACAAGACCTACATTTTAGTAGAGTTTGCCCCTCATGTCGGACATCTGCACAGAGTTAAACCTTATCCCCCCGCAGCAGCGCACTCGGTGGTGGCAGGAAAAGCTTAGGGGCAGCTGCACACGGGGGAGGTGAGACTGTCACTCAGGAGTCTGGGACCTGGAGGTGAGGGGTCCCTCAGTCAGAAAGCTCCTCCTCTCCGCGGGGTTGGAAGGCCTGTGTTCATCTTCTTAGGGAAAGCACCAGTTTCCTTACACTTCTCAAGTAAAGATCCTTTCTGCCGTTGCCTTGTGAAAGGCCATCAGGGCTATTAATTCCTCAGTGTGTTGGAAAGAGAGAAGAAATCAATGGGCGTGGAAAGGGCTGGAAGTCATTCTCTGCCTTCAGCACCTGGCTGCCGCGGAAGAACCCCCGCCCTTGGCTGTGAGAGCGAAGGGGAGGCCTGGAGGTCCTCC